CTCTTGCTCTCTTTAAATAAAGCAACGCCACTTCCTCGTCCGACATTAAACAGAGCCCGAGGGAGGGAGGGGCGGGGAGGCTGTTGCCGTGCAGCGCTTCAAGAGCTGACCTGCGTCTGACCTCAAAGTGCACGAGCGACCAACTTCAGCGTTGGCTGCGATTTTGAAGCTGAAATCGCGTTCGGTTTGAACGCAGCTTAAGTATCCTTTTTTAATTAAAGCTTAAATATAAACTTACATACCAGCAGTTCATTCTTGTGTTGTAGTTTAACCTCCGACTGCTAGTTGGCAGCAGTCAGACACTTTGGCTCCTCCACTCCTGAGGACCCAGAGTGTTTAATGCTAGCTCAAACGTTAGCATTGTGAGTAAGCATTAGCACTAAGTAGTGATGGCTCTTTCCTGATCTTATCCACCTTCCTCACTCACAAAGAAAAACCTCAACGTCTTCAGTTCTGTTCCGTCTCTTGGGCAACACCACAGTCTCCAAACCATTCAACATACTGTAGCTGGTCTCACCTCCGTCTTCCTGCCATGCTTTTATCACAAATCAATCATAAAAATCTTTCTCCGTCCACTCCATCCTGCCTTTAACATTAAAGGATAAAAGTGTTTCGGTGACTATTCCTAACTAAAACAAAGGCTGACCAAAAAAAAAAAAAGATTCATAGCTCCCTCTTCAGGAAACAACAAACCAGAAGTGTCTGAAAAAGCCAAATAAAGTTCAGATAAGGCAGAAATAAAGACGACAGCAGGTGAAACTCTGCAGCGACCAGCACATGGCTGATGTTTCATTCCTCTGAGGGTTTCCTTCAGAACAGACAGTCCTACCAGGAAAACAGGATTACTGGAGGTGTTTCGCTCTGACAGCATGACTCAGATCCAGCAGCTAACAGGCTTACAGCATCGTGGGATTAGAAAGGAAGGATTCCCCTCATGTTTACTACCGAACAGAACATAAGAAGAAGCTGGGATGATGGGAGCAGAGGAAAGATTAAAGAAATAAAATGTCCCAAATCACATCTTTAGAAGAATCTAAATAGATTTCACCAAATTCTTACCCGTCTATCTGAGGACACCAGCCTGAATTCCTGCAGAAGTTTCCCAAAAATGGATCTGTGTGACTTTCTAAATGGATGAATTGTACCCTGAAAATACAATAAAAAAAGAAAAAAAAACGTCAAACCTGAATACATTTGGGCATAAAACACAAATCAAAACTTCTTAATTAGCTAAAACAAGAGTGTAAAACTAAATAAAATACTTTAATTTAAAAATGTTAAGTAGGTCCAACGGATGGGTTCTTCTTTAGTGATGAGACTGAATCTCTTTGAGAAGAGACGACACGTTTCATTAAAGAACACATCCAGAGGAACTACTTCACTTTTTTTTTTACCTGGACTACTGAGGTGCATCAGGACAAAATACTTGCATGATTATCAGAATTTACAATAAGATGAATTAATAAAAAAAAAAAAACAGAACCAGTTGTTTTTCTTGTCAAGTCCTCATATATATATATAT